TAATGAAGTAACGCCTCCGACTAGCAAACCCACTAGCCGCAAAAGGGCATTTAATGCACGAGGGAAGAAGGGAAGTGACTAAAGTCAGGATTTGGTGACAGAAATCAGAGTGGTTAGGCGCAAACATACTTACAAATATTCTTACAAATTGAGGTCAGATCACCAACCACCAAACAAGGGCATTAAATGCGTCCCCACGGCCAGAAGCACAGAACCCACGATCAGGGCGGCGGTCGAGATTTACCAGGATTTATGGGGTCACACCACCATGCTTCACGATCCCAAATGTCGATTGGACTACCTACTTGTTCTAATCAGGCTCCACCATGCAGATTTTCAGCCTCGATTACTCCTCCAAGAGCTCTTCCTATAAATACCAAGTTCAAGCTACATTCAAATGGTTCAAACACCAAACCAAAAGCCTCCCACATAGCAAATTATATTTTCCTGTAATGCACTTTCAATATCTTTACTTGCTTTCCTAGGAGTAGTGTTAGGTTGTAAGGAAAATCCGTTCATCAATATATCATACGACTCTTGATTTTCAAGGCGCCGGAGCGCCATCTCTGTTACTCTTTCATAAATCCCATATATCATACGACCGTCGCTCCCTGAGCAACGCGTCGGAGCAATGCCCAAAATCCACCATCAACACCACCATTAAACGTCCTTGTAGCTCAGGCCGTGAACCTGACGGACGAGATCAGTTCCTCTCTCGGCCACAATCGTTTGATTAGGAGTCGAACTCAAACAGGCACACCACTTAACCACTTCACCCATATCACCATCTCGACGCACGGTAGACCGTGCTGGCACGCCCGCGCACAACCGCACTGCATCCAAAAGAAGGAAGCCACGTGTTAACGCATATCCCCTAAGCCCGGAGCTCCAGGCCGTGAGATTTGCGCAGCCAACAATTCAGTCTACATCTTATGAAAAATTTGTTGGGAATTACTCATCAGTTATCACAAGCATTGCAAAGGAGAGATCAAGATATTGTAAATGCCATGAACTTGGTTACACTCAGTAAGCAACAATTACAAGAGATGATAGGTAGTGGATGAGATTCTTTACTCAATCAAATTGTTGTTGTTTGTGAAAAATATGATATTGATGTTCCTAACATGGGTGATATTTATCTACTTTTAGGCCGGTCACAACGCAGAGCTCCAAAACTCACAAATTTGCATTACTATCAAGTTGATATGCAACTCCAAGAATTAAATAGTCTTTTTATAGAGATTAATATTGAGTTGCTTCTTTGTATGACATGTTTAAGTCAACTTGATTCATTCTCTGCTTTCAACAAACAAAAATTGATTCGCCTTGCTCAATTTTATCCGAAGGACTTTTCAGAGAATTATATCTTAGCACTTGAGGATGAACATGAGACTTACATATTTGATATGAAATCTAGTAGTGTGTTTTGGTTGAGACAAAAAAAAAAGAAAGATAGGGTATACCCATTGGTTTACTTGCTCGTGACACTGGCACTAATTCTACCAGTTGCGACTGACTCTGTGGAAAGAGCATTTTCTACTATGAATATATTGAAAAGTGATCTGAGCAACCGAATGGGAGATATATGGATGAATGATAGCTTAATCATATATATTGAGAAAGATACATTTGATATTATTGATAATGAAGTGATTATGAAAAGATTTCAAGAGATGAGGGAAGGGTTTAGACGGAGGGGAGGGGGAGTGGCTGTAGTTTTTCCAAAAAGAACTTAATTTTGTTTTATGGATTTTAAGTTTTAAAATATTTTTAGTGTATTATTTTTTTAACGCCACATGGCTCTATATCATTAGATGTGTGGGCTCTGCATATGTGCAATGTCAGCAACTTAACATAAGATTTTACAGAAGCTAACGACATGGACCAAATTGATGCATAGATAATAACCTTAAAGACCATTAATGTCACAAAAAATCCTTAAGTAAGATGACAATTTCACAAACCTCAAAGACTATTTGCGATTAAAAGCCTTTAAACTTATATAGCATTTTGGTTTTGAAGTATGTGAGAGTGGGCGTGTGTCCCCCGTTAGTGGCTCTATCACCATTGGTCTATCTCATTAGGTAACCAGAGATATGGACACAAATTAGTACGCAATATCTCCTAAACGTGATTTTAAAACAAAAAAAAAACAATATATATATACAGTCCCCTTCTATTGAGGGACGCCCTTTAGGGTACCTTACAATTTTTATTCCAATGATCCCCTTCTATTGAGGGACGCCCTTTAGGGTACACTACAATTTTTTTTCCAATGATCCAAACCATCTATTTTTTAGGTCTTCATTCATAGATCATCCTTACAAAAAATTAGACAAATCGAAAACCGTTTCAACATCCAATTGTGTTCTACAAAATCAATGAACACGGTGCTTCAAGAAAAAAACTAAAATTTCAATAACTCAATTGAGTGGTCAAATGATATCGGATTCAAGTGATTTTTTGTGGAGATAATCTTTTAATGAGTATCTACAAAATAGACGGTTTTGATTAGTGAAATATAATCCAGAGTGGGCTCTAGAAGGGGTGTCCCTCAAATAAGCTTATTTGATGGTCAAAATCTTCTAAGATGCAGGAAAAGGAAAAAGCAGATTAATTTGAATGATGCAGAGGAACAAGATCTGTACAGTCATTGTACATGATGAGATAACAAAGTCATCCTCGTACTCGAAGAACTGACTTGGTAGGTACAAATTACAATGGCCCGTCAGGCAATTTCTAATTTCACAAACGCGCAGAGAGAAAAGTTCAAATCATACACCCCATAATAACTAAGTGCAAGCTTTATAAGCTTTATTTTATAGTCCCAAACATTCCAAGAAAAGCTGATCTTCCACTTGGAATTAATCCTCACAAAGCCTAATGCATATTTATCATTCAGCTTAGTTCTAACACTGAGTTCCTGGTTTACGAAGAGTCTTTACGCAAACCACCCACATGATGGCGGAAACGGCAAAATAAAAAATTAGGCAAAAGACAATGAAGACGACACGAAGCATACCACCCTTGCTAGACCCCATTCGTTGTGCTGCTCCAACCGGAGGAGCAGCGGCCGGATCAGCTGCCGGATCAGCGGCCGGATCAGCTGCCTGATCAGCGGCCGGATCAGCGGCCTGATCAGCGGCGGGAATGCCGAGATAAAAACTTAGGCGAAAGACGATGAAGGCGGCAAGACGCCAAACACCATTGCAACACCGCATTCGTTGTGCTGCTCCAGCGGGAGGAGCAGCGACCGGAGCAGCGGCGGGATCAGCGGCCGGAGCAGCGGCCGGAGCAGCGGCCGGAGCAGCACCCGGAGCAGCGCCCGGATCAGCACCCGGAGCAGCGCCCGGATCAGCAGCCGGATCAGCAGCCGGATCAGCGGCGGGAGCAGCGGCGGGAGCAGCGGCAGGATCAGCGGCCGGATTAGCAAGTTGTGTTGCTAACCGAGCAGTCAAGTCATGGACATTATCCCAGGATATATCTTTCTGGTGGCTGATTTTTCTATATTTCTTTCCAATATCATACATTGCAACCAAATTAGGTAAGGCTGCTAATACAGAAAGGACGATGAGCAGCCAATAAGGTAAACATCTAAAGACTGTGTTAGCACCTGCGATTGCCGTCAGGATAACTCCTTGAAACACCAAGTAGTAGCTTGCAAGTTGGAAGCCACTTGATTGAAGTTTACTGAGGCCATCGTTATGTTCCTTAATGTCAGAGAGTATTTTGTCTATTTGCTTATCTAGTTCAGGGTTAGCCATGACAGGCGAAGATGTTTGTGTGTTAGACGTGACACTAGCCGTGACATGCAAAGATGTTTGTGTGGATGGAGAGAGAGTGAGAGTGAGTTAGTGATCTTATGATATATATATGTAATATGTGAAGAATTTTTTTTTTTTTTAAAAAGAAAATGTTAAGGATGTCTTAATTATTTCACAACAAGAAAAAAAAAAAAGAGATGATTTCAATTTGATACCTTAAATTTTTCTCTTAAGGCACGCTTGTCACGGCATTTCAATTTTGACAATCATCCGCTATTAAACTTAGCGTTAGAAGATCTATTAAATGTGTGTGTCTAATATAGGACCCACTTTCTTTTCTTAAATGGAAGAAGAATAATGGCCATGTGGATAAAAAAAAA